GTTGATAAAATTTATTTTAAGAAAACGATTTTTCAATTAACAAATCTTCTGAAAACATGCAAATAAATATTAAAATAATATAAATACATAAGTACTCTCTAGTTGTAAACAACAGTGCACATTTGGCTTACCTTTCAAGTGAAATAAGAAGTCATTGATGAATTAGTTGTTAATTGCAATTCACGATAAATAACTGAAAAAACAACGATCAAAATATTTCAATATAAAAGTCTTTCTTTTCAAGTTATTATTCTGATTATAAATCCTTTTGCAATTTAAGAATCGTAAAAATATTAAAAAAGTACGAGCTTTGGTCCATGTCCTTATTGTGGTAGAGTTTAAAGCTTTTCAGAGATAGTTGAATATGTGTAAATTAAAAAAACAATGATACGAAATTCTGTTGAACGTTTTTCTATGTTTACTGCAGCAGGGATTAGTATGTTTGGATTTACAGATGATATAGTAGTATAAGCATCTATCAACGAGGAGTTAGGGATAGCTTTAAATAAAATGGAAGCGGTATTGACAAAACAGTACCGTATGAAAATAAATATAAGTAAAACAAAATAATGGTATGAAAGGGAAGAAAAAGTAAGGAAAGAGCGAATATAAAGATAGGAGACGAATTTAGGTATCTAGGAAGTCAGATAAGTCAGGACGGAAGAAGTAGTACAGATATAAAGCAGAAGATAGCGCAGGGTCGCCTTCGATAAAAAGAAGGCACTTATGTGCTCGCGAACAGTTAATTTATAAATTCGAAAAAGGTTTTAGAAAATACTACAAATGGCGCAGTAAACGCCATCTGTAGCACGATGCTACATTTTAGGATTACGTATTCTCCAACAAGGTCCACTCGTGTGGATATTTACTTACTGAAAACGAATCCCGGAATTCGAATTATTTTATTCGATTAAGCTAACGTGCCTATCACGTTGAGGTTGGCTACGCCGGGATTCGTTTTCAGCAAGTAGATATCCACACAAGTGGACGTTTTCGTTTTCAGCAAGTAGATATCCACACAAGTGGACCTTGTTGAAGAATACGTAATCCTAAAATGTGGCATCGTGCTACAGATGACGTTTACTGCGCCATTTGTAGTATTTTCTAAAACGCACTGTTAAGACAGCAGGTAAAAGTTGGTCTGTGTTCTGACGGAGCTACCTGCGGCACGCTGATGAAATCCAAACAGATCGAAATCGCGATCCGCGTCTGGCAGTTTCGACAGAATACAGACCACTTCGAATTATTTTATTCGAAAAAGGTTGTTAAAGGTGTACGTTTGGAGCGTGGCGCTGTAGGGGTGCGGAAAAGAAAAGGTTAGGAGCGTTCGAAATGTGGTGTTACTTGCGAATGGTGAGGATACAGTGGATAGAGAAGGTTAGAAATGAAGAGGTATTAGAAAGAATAGGAGAACAGAGGACTCTATGGAAATCAATAAGGAATAGGCGAGAGTTATGTTGGTAGGACACCTTGTCAGACATGACGGTCTAGTCAGAGACATATTAGTGGCAGAAACGGATGTTAGGAGGGGTAGAGGTAGACCTAGATTAGATTACTGTTCGCAAATAGTTAAGGATATGGGTTGTTCTAGTTTTAGGGAAATGCGAAGATTAGCTCAGAATAGGAAAGAGTGGAGGCACGTGTCCAACCAGTCTTAGGACTGACGACCTTATGATGATGACTGCAGTTTCCCCAGTAACTCACTTGTCTGCTCTTTTCTGTCATCAAATAATTTAAGAAGTTTCGTATTTGAGTTGTTTGACCATGTCTAGTTGTAAAGTGAAATGTTTCGTATGTGTACGTAGTTCAGTCCAAATTGTCTAATTTGGCACTTTGACTATGATAGTTTACCTCAAGTTCCTAATCCCCTCTTTACTCGTTTGAAGTATTGCGACCCTTGTTGACCTAGGAGGCTTATTTGATTGTTCCGATGACCGAGTTCGGTCGACCTTCTGTCCATCGAAGTTATTCTCCTGCCGCAACATTTGCTTCAAAACCGAGGGAAATAAATTGGTCGTAGCCTTCCTTAAACCCTTTCTACCGCTTCGACGTCTTTATGATCATGAATAATTCCTTGGAATCGACCGACTGTCTGAAACAGAGCCATTTATTTGAATTAATTTTTTGATAAATAACTTCTGAGTCGAAATTCAGTCAAATATACTTCTACGAAAAGGGTTAAAAATTTATTTCTGTAAGGATAATACGTTATTTAGGTACGTACTACTTATTACTGCATTGTTAATTTTAATGTTTTAAGTTAAATGATTACAGTACTAAAAATATTGTGTACAGAAAAGAATAAAATACACAAATTGTTAGATCCTCTCGTATAATAATTATTATAATATGCAAATAAAAATGGTAACGTATTAATAAGAAGCGGTGTATATGATTAATTAATGTTGAAATTAAAGCGGGCGTGTTAGTACATATAAATCACAATTTTTATTCGTATTCTAAATGATTTAGTAGATTATCATTCTAGTTCTTTTTGATTTCTACTTTTTTCAGTTAATTTCGGCTTTTCCTTCATTAATTTCTTCTTTTGTTTGTCTGTTCATTGAATGTAGACAATGGAACGTCAAAGTTCAAATGTGAGCTGTTATTGTGGCTTCTTTTTGACACCTCTTAATGAATTTTAGTCCCTTTTTTTTGATGTTATCAATTAAACCTTTACTTATCTTAATACTTCTATTCTTGAAATCTGTAATTATTATCGACAGAGATCATCGCTTGACATTCGGTTCGAACACGCGATGTTCGATCTTCAGGTTCATTCTTTGGTGTCCAATTTTTTATGTTCAATTAATTTTCAATTGTACATCAAATAAAGCACTCTCTTATCGACGTAGTATTATCCGATGCGAGAAATGATTAGAAACTGAAAAGTTATTTAACTTTGAAATTCGGAAAGCGGTGCAGTTGCAAAAACAGGGTCGGCTTTATAAATGCCTGGTTGGAATTATATTTTTAAACAAGCTTCTTTACTTTCCTAAATTTCTGAGAATGTTAAACTTTTTTAAAATTCGATGATGACAACATGCTCAAATTCTACTTGTCTGCATCTCTTTCTGTTACACATTAACCGGTGTAATGTTATTTCTTTTTCTTCATTAGTGTCCGCTGCAATTCCCACCTGACATCTCTCTTCTATATTTGCGATATTCCCTGCAATGTCTGCCATGAGTAAAAGTAGGCGTTCTGTCAGCAACCGCTCTTGTCTAGTTAATAAGTTGAAAGAAGAAAGTAAATGCGACAGTTAAGTGTATTCTGAACGTTCTTATTGAACAATCGACATTGTCTATACTGTAATGTTTGTGGGTTTAACAAATTAACTTTTAAGAAGAAAACTATTTATTTACACTAATTATTATTGAAGAACTTAAAAACACTATTAACTTATTACTAAACTTAGGTAATTATGCTATTTATTTACACTACTGTTACCATTCACTGTTCTATTTATTTCACTTCTATCACTTTCAATTTATCTCTTGATTCACCTCTGCAACGGTCAATTTATTTCTACTCTACTTCGGCGATCGTCTCTTCCTTTTTATACTCCCTTGCCTCCTTTCGGGAACGTTCT